CAGGAACGTCTAACATTAGTGTAGATTGTAAGGCATCTGTTTTAAACAACCAAGAAAATGTAAAATTTAAGCTGGTTATTCGAAGACACCAGAGCCTAAAAGGTCTTGGAAAGGTGTACTTACAATGGAGGTACATCAGCGCCGGGCAAGGGAGCCACGGGCGGTGGATAACGACAAATGATTGTTTTAATTTCATCTTCTTCCAATTCTAGAGACCGGTGAAAACGAACAATTATATTATTGATGAATACTCGTGGAGCCTCCTGGAAAAAGTATATAACGTATTTTCAGGTGAGAAACACACAGAATATTAGTAAGTTTTTTCTAGGTACAGAAGAGTCGTATCACAGCCACAAAATATACTGGAGGTATAAATTTTAAAATGCAAGTATCATTTGTAACTTTCCTAACGTTATAATCCATATACTAGGTTACAATTAAATGGAAACTTTCACAGAATTTTATAATTGCCACTAGGGCTAGCAAAATGGAATAATAAATGTTTTATTGGAATATTGTTTTTTGCTAATTTAAACAACAGAAGGTGTTTATAAATATATCAAAATTTATTTCTGAAACTATTAAATAGGAAGTTTATAACAAACTCTCGCATTTAGTAAATTCACTATCGACTAATTAAGAAAAGAAAGAAACGATAAAAAATTTAGATTGAAAAATTTGAAGTTAATCAAGGAGGAGACACGTTAGGAATATGAAAATATATATACTATTTATGATGAGCCTAGATTACTAAAGCAAGATGTTACGCATAAATGAATAAATTCAAAACAGTTTCTAAGATACAAAACTAAGAACAAAAAGATATGATAAGGTCGTAAGAGCTAAACCTTAAATCTTTCATAGCAGTTTAGGCCTATGACGCTACGCTGTATGTTAAATGCACCCCAACAAATTTAGTTTAGAAAAGCCAAACTGTTAGTTTTTTCTTTTCTGAAGAAGTTTCTTTAGAATTTTTGAAAATAGCAATCCTTCATTTTAAAAGTCTGCCGGTGGCTCAGTGGTAAGTAAGAAGGTTTATAACACTAAAAATCAAGTTTCGGCAGAACACAGATAGCCCATTATGTAGTTTTGCGCTTACCAACCAAACAACAAAAATTATTTTGGAATTTGAAACAATAGACTAAAAGGAAGGCAGCTAGTAAACAGCACCCACTGTAAATTATTGGGCTACTCCTATGTGACCAAATAGTGGTATTCGGATATGACTTTTATAATACGATCACAGACACAAAGTGCTAAACGCATTTTTGCAGAAATGGACCCGAGTAATGCTCCCTTGGATACAGTTCAAATATGGTAACCATTAGACAACGCCAGGCCCTCTGAAGAGACGCAAACCGAAATTCTTCGGGATTCAAATCAGGAACTCTGTTTAGTTGGTGAATGCCTTAGGTAACTATATTTGATAAGAGTATCCTTCTAAACTTCCAAAAAACCTTTAGCTTTTCTCGGGAACTGAAAAGAAATAAAAAAAAAGCCATTTCACTACTTCTATGAAACTTCCTCCATTGGAAAGAAATAATATTTATGTCAGGTTCGCGTATTTCTATTGAAAATGCTCCCTTAAGTTTTATTTTGTGAACTTCTTGTTCTTTTCCCTATAATGTTTTCATAATTTATGTTCTGGTTAAGGTTTTTACGTACTCATTTACATATAATGATTCTTTTTTAAGTGTTTACCAAATCTTCTTTTTAGATTTTTACTAATATTAACAATGTAAAATTAAATTCACAATCTTCAGAGGTAACTCGATAGATTATACAATATACATATAGATCCATTTGTGGTGGTCTTCGTTATTGTAACGTTTTATTTAATATATCTTTCAATTTTAGGCCTAGCTTTCTTTAATAATTTTGTTTCAATATCTATGCTGTGGTTTTCTTTTCTCTTTTACCAACTGAGGAAGCTTCACTTTAGAAGCGAAACATTTTAATTTATAGGCTCAGCATCGCCAGGTGGTTAGGGCGCCTGACTCGCAATCTGAGGGTCTCGGGTTCGAATAATCTTCCCACCAAACGTGCTCACCCTTTCATCCGTCGGGGCGTTATAAGTGATGGTCAATCCCATTATTCGTTGGTAAAAAGAGACGCCCAAGAGTTGGCGGTGGGGGGTGATGACTAGCTGCCCTCCCTCTAGTCTTACACTGCTAAATTAGGGACGGCTAGCGCG